CATGTTGCGTCACTGGTTTGCAGAAGGTGGATGGTTGATAAGAGATATGATTTGTTGAGTGCTTTTCAGAGGCGTAGAGAGCGCGGCCGAATCGCAACGGATTCTATCCACACAGTCGAACAGGCGCAATTGGCTGAACTTAGTAAACAGATACCGGACGGAGTCGCCGAGAATTCTCAATACAAATATCCCTTTCAGGTAAATTGCTTTGTAATTTTGTTTAGTCTCCTTCAGCATATTGATATAAAAATTCTCTCTCGCATTTCGAATGCAAATTTGTTTCATATAGACTAACAATAAAGACGTTGTTAAGAAGTATATACTTAAGTTGTACTAAGTATTTGTAAGTAAACTGAACTCGATGGCGCAGTGGTTAGCGCTCTCGGTCCGCGATACGGTTGTTAAGTAATTTTCGTAAAGGCCGTTCATAGGATGGGTGACTAAAAATTAAAATCTATTATGTCGTCCTCCTCTGTGCTTCAAAAGTCACGTGAAGCCGTAAGTCCTGGTTGCATCTGCAGTCATTAATAACCACCAATCCGCACTGGGTCCGCGTCATGGCTCATTCACCCTCTTCAATTTGGTTTGATTTTATACATAGGGAAGGCCTGCCTAAGCCCCAGCAGAGGGCACAGTTATTTGTTAGAGATTTTTGGTATGAAAGTTTTTTTTTTTACATTGATAGTATGAATATGGGTATTCATATATTAGATTGTGCGCAGGTGGGCTACACTGAGCAGAACACTGACTACACGTTGTACCTTATAGTTGGAGACCATAGCGAGCGACTGCATTGGATACACACAATCAGAAGTCGTATGTATAATTAACAGTACTGCATATTAGATTTCTATCGTTTGGTACAGATTTACACCCTTATTCACGACTTATCGTAAACTAGCCATGTCGGAACACTTGACTGTACTTGAATATGATGTCAATATGACACGGATGATGATATATATTTAGACAACCAAACTTACAAATCAAATCTTTTAAATTCATTCTTGCCATTAATTATTATGTTCTCGGTTCACATACATATTAAAATGTTTTGACTGAGCTTTTGTACCTAAGTAGAATTTTATAACATGTTTTGCATCGGATACGGAAAAAGCAGTTTCCGACGTTTGTAAATAAGGGAGATGAACTGATCTAAAAAAAATATAATACCGCTATTAAAAATAAAATAAATTCGCTATTTGCTCCGTTCTGTACTGTGGTGATCGCAAACGTACCAATCAGCATCGAAATACTATAGAATGTCCTACATTATGTTCCTGCTTTTAGTGTTACCGAATAATACGTCTATGGAACTTAACAGATTTTTATTATCACTTCTTCAATATCTGAGTATGTATTAAATTTAAGTAACTTTCTTATAGGATGGGTAACCAAAAATTTACTATTTCGAGCTCTTCCGTGTTTTTGAAGGTTCGTTAAACCATTGGTCTTGGCTGCATCTTCAGTTCGCTATCAACCAACAAATCCGTATTGATCCTGCATGGTAACTTATGACCCGTCCTGTACTTCGGTGGTCTGAGGATGATATGTAGTGTTTTTTTTAAATCACTTAATAATTTGGTTTATGTTACAAATACTTGAAAGTTCTTTACACAGACATATTTTGTACAAGTATATTTTTTAAATATTTCAGTGGCTCAGTCTGTGCAAGCTCTTGCACTAGCAAGCAAACTATTGACTTGAAATGTAAGCGCATCGTCCACGCTGAATCTTATCATATTTAAATTAGTTCCTTCAAAACCCCTCGAATTTTCGGTTTTACACATAGAAAATAGAAAAAAGATTTTTTTGTTCTGTTGTTTTATTTGTATACGTTTTCATATAATGAATTCTAAAATTTCAATCTTTCGACCCCTTAGCGCGTTTATGAGGACATTTTAGCGTTCATCTTTAGGAGTTTTTAAAAGAGGGATGTGATTCACTTCAACTTAGTTTTAACTATGTATGTAATGTAAGTACCGAAATATTGTCTTTGCTTTTACGGTAAGTAGACATGCAATTTGGTGGCAGTGTGCGTTTGCAACACACGACGGCCAAGATACCATCCCGGCGCTTGGAGTGCTCGCCGCTGGGCGTGTTGTGACGGGGAGCGGCGTTCAGCACCGGGCTGCCAGATAGCCACCATTTGGCCGTTGCCGGAGCCCCAATTGGAGATCCTTGTGCAAAAGGAAAAACCTGTTAACGACGTTACACGTAAGTGTCCGCATTGAGATTTAAGATCTTATGATATTGAAGTGGTACTTTTAGTTCTCATTAAGGTACCGGTAGGATTTTGAAAATAAATTATACCTGCATAATAATGAAACGCAATTTTCTATAAAATTATATGTCAACTTACATAACAAGTGGATAATGTTGAAATATGAATTAATAACGCTAAATTGAGTAAGGCGTTAAAAACTCGAGAAAAAGTAGATAGCTTTTTAAAAATAAAACTTTACGTTCATTGCAAAAAAATATATCGATAAAATATTGTAGGCTGTTAGTCACTCACTAATATGTACACGGTCTCACTGAAAGTTTCTAGAATAGGCTAGTAACGATAGGAGACCATGAAAATTTATTTCAATATCGAATTATATTTTTTTGGGAATCTGTAGGTGCTTAATGGATTCATAATGTTTATATTTTTACAAATTAGCTACAATAAAAAAAACGTGCGTCGCATTGGATTTATCAGAGGAAACATTCGCTCAATGATTTATTATGTCTTTAGTTGCGGCCTTAATGATAATATTATAATAGACTTCGATTAGCATTTCATAATGAAATCCCACCCCGTGGTCAATGTACAATGTAGGTTTAGTGAGTTCAAGCGCAGAAAAAGCAAACTATGCGAGGCTATTGAAAGTAGCTTATAGGCATCGCTTTGGCTAAGTACATAAACTCTGACATAAATATTCGGTGGTCAGAAAACTTTGAATTCCGTCGATTGTATTCGTGTCGCTTAATGCTTAAAAATTACTTGTGAGGCAGCAGCTGGAATTGGAATGCAAATGTATCATCCCGCTCACAGGTGATGAAAGTAGGAAATGTTGTTAATGAGCCGAAACTAGACGAAATCGAACAAATTGCTTTTTCCATTCAAAGATATGCCGACAAAAGTTAAAATTTGTCAAGGGAAATACATGATAACTTCATTCGCAGCATTTGTCCTAGAAGATAAAACTACGATAAAAAATGGTGTGTCTGCCACTTAAAAAATATTGGACAGCAGCGTCCAGAAGCAGAACCCTTCACCACGAAAAATCGCAAGTTTACCATTTCAGATGGATTATTAAATATTTGTGTATGGAAGGTGTGTAGTGGAAGAGATCTACGAAAGAAGAGTTTTTAACATCCTTCACTCAGTATGGTACTTAGAAACAACAGACTTCGAAAAACAATGAAATAATTAACACGTCCCGACGTCGTTCACTTTTTTATTGTCAAAAAACTTTCAGTGTACCTAATCCTTCTATGATATTAATTTATCGTATAATGTAAAGTTCCTTATTCCAATTTCAAAGATATGGTGATTCTATTTATTCAAATATATTATTTTGGGTGGATGTTACAATTTATTAGGTTATTTATATTAATTGCGTGTAGTAAGAACTAAGTAAGACTTATATAGACCTTACTACTTGCCAACTTTCGACAACGTTGCTTTGCTAGTGATAACGATCTAATTTCTAGAAAGAACTTTGTCTTCATTTTGCTTTTTTAAATTAGTTTCTCGATATTTAAAGATTAAATAAGGAAAACAACTTAATTGGGGAATAAGCTGTTAAAATATTCAATACTCTTTTTATAAGCAATATTTAAGTAACATTTTATAGCTGTTATAAATATTTGAAATTTTTATTAAGTTACAAGGAATTTAGTAACTAATACGTTTTGTCAGACCTCAAATTTAAAAAGATTATTGTCATAAACTTATATTTCTTTAGTGTTTATTTCTACTCGACAACAGTAAAATGCATCTTCTATAGTAAGAAGAATTACGTATGTTTCATACCTATAGATCACAGATACTAGAAAAAAACATACAGTGTCTAGTTCAGCAGTGATAGGAAGGCTGCCTTCGTTTTATAGTATATTAGTGAGTCCATTTGGTAGTATGTTGTCCGTCTTCCTCGCACCAAATGTTTCGTCGATAAGTGAAAGGGGGACTGATAATACGCCTGCGCACGCGCATCGAATGGTGAATGTAGGCCGCGTACGACCATCTTTGAATCCCTCGCCACCTGGTCTCGGCAAGTGTAAAGCCTTGTTCCTATATGCAACATACAATAATGGAGCGTTATTAATACTTTGTGCGTTTTTGATACACCGTTCTAAGATATTATTTACATACATATAATATTTTCATTTGAATTATTTACAAAATCGGGATATTATTAAACATCAATTAGAAATTTCCAAATAGCACATATGTGCTATTTGGAAATTATTAAATATTTTTTAAATTTTGTACCTATTTAGTTAAATATTCTGAAATTATTTTTCTCAACTAACTTGTTTTCCGTGACTTCGCCCGTAAATTATAGCCTATATCATCTGCATATGATTTACATGTTTTCCGTAGATGAAAGAATTTTCAAAATCGGTCCACTAGTTTTGGCACCTATTTAATGCAAACAAACCATCCATAAAAAAATCCTCTTTATTATATTAGTACTCTAATAGTGGGATCAGAAGTAGCTCAGGTTTGCTCAATAAAATCATGGGTATAATTCTTCAAAATCTCGATTTTATTAGAAAATAATATACATCAAATCACACTTATAGGTAAATTCTAAGATACTGACTCTATGCCGGTCTCGATCAGAAAAAAGATTATCAACCGACAAAACACGACCACGCGAATTCGAACGTGGAAAAAGTAATAATTCAAAATATTAGCGGCCAGCATTGACCAAAAATCGTCCGGAGAGTAAATCTACCTATAGTAATGTGTACGGTCGTCACAATACCTATAGATAACACATATTTTAAAAGCTATCTAGTTATAAGTAAAAATATCTTGTTTTTAATTACTTATTATAAGGAAAACAACAAGTTTTAAACTTAGAAAAATCCGTACTGCTTTTAAATAAATAACGGGTCTAATTCCCTTAAGGGTTTAATTAAATTAATATATTTCTTTTGTAACTAGAACTAGTTTTCTGTAATTTCCAGTTTCATGTTTCCTAATGGGAAAATAATATATAAATTAATAATTCTAGTTTAAGCACCTATTGTTAAAGTTGAACTGTCCTACGACCGATCTATTTAGTTCAATGACTAATTTTTATCAATTGCGATTTCACCAAACAATTATAAACCTGACTCAGACCAACAAAAAATATAGCAAAAAGTACTTTAGTAGGTTGCTCTACGCTGTATCGGCTCTACTGTGTATTTCGCTTTATCTCGAGAACGGTACACTGACACTTAACTTGCCAGTCGGGGCCAGGTGTCGCGCGCGGACGTCCGGCGTATACCGTTCTCATGTTGCAGAGCAAGACTGAAGACGAACCGATGGTTACCAAGAAGAAGTCCAAGATACCATGCTTATCTCTGTCTTCGTTCCTCCCGGCACTTGAGGGTACGGAATATTCGAGATGACCTCTATTTGTGGCCTCGTTGCTACCGGTTGCATTCACTCGTCTCGCTGCAACTTTCCTTGGTCAGGTGTCGTGTAATGCGTTTGTGTAATGTCAGCAAGTGATTTTGTGCAGTGTTTTCTACATTTTTATACAATCACCTGTATTGTACGTTTCACAGTGTTTAACTCAGTGCCATCCATTGATCATGTCTAATTTTCACATAGACAATAACAATGTCGTCTCCTTGGAACGTTCAAGTTTAATCGTTTCTCAGCAAATTAGTGGAAACTGTTTTAGTTCTTTTCGCGATTCCGTCAGTGTTTTCTTGTAAATGTTGACTTTAACATAATAATCTTACATTTGACCAATTATTTCCTAACAGTTTGCAATAATTTCGACATTTAATTTGTGCTTATATTTCCGACTGTGATACCAGTAAACTGAACGTCATTGCTTTAAGTGTTTTTACTAATGTTGTGGTAACAATTACGAATACTGGTTTTGGTCAGGTAGAAGTAGTATTTTTAATAAAATAATCGTTAAGGTCGATAGCAAGCATATAACAAACGCTAATTTTGTATGTCATTTGAATAAATCTAATGGTTGTTTTTTGTTGAAAACATGTTCTTTTTTTGGGGTTTACCTATTTGTGATAAGTATATGATAGAAAAAGATATATTACGTATGGCATTTATATTTTTTTATGATCATAAATAGTTCAGCTAAAGGTCTAATGTATTAGGCTGATTTATCTGTAGCTTTGATATATTTTTAAGTTTTATAAGCTCTTATTAAACAACTCAATAACATCAAATTAATTGTGATCAAAACAAATAGAATTCAAATAAAATTCAAACATATTTTCTAGTGAGGATGTCTTACACCAAGGGATACGTGAATAAACGCATATTTATTGAATGTTCTCAGCAATAAATTTTAAAATTTTTAATTAAATTTTTCCCGTTATGTTATTTTTTGTTGTGAAAATTTATATATAGCAATTTACGGCCAAGGTCCGCCACGAAAAAATTTATAATAATCGCGATGGTTAAAGAGCTTCTTTTAATATCCATATAACAAAGTTAATACATTAAAGTCATATTTAATGAAACTTTCGTATGCAATTCAGAATTCAATGGTGCATCTTTATGCCACTTATAGAGAATTAAAAACGGTGACTGCCAGAATACGCGAGAGGTGATATGAAATAAAACCATATTATCATAATCTACTCTATTATCACCGAATCTGTGTTTGTTTCGCATTTATGCCAGTGTTGATTCCAAGAGTTTTGATTTTTTTATCTTTTAAAACAGCTCTCATAAATGTTTGAGTTTAATTGCAAATTGAATTAAAAAGCCCATAAAAATATTGAAAGATTTTTGGATTAACAAATATTGCTTTTGGTACAGCGGTCACAGCAGCAGTCACAATGCCGGGGGGAGGGGGTGCCCCTCCCGGAACACCATCGGCAAAGCCAAAGGTAAATATTCAACGACTTTTAGTATTCACCATAAACATTACAGTGCTCCAGGTTGGGATATTATCTATGTTATTAAAAAAGCTATACTAATAACTGAAGAGAAAGATTACTTTGCAAACTGTAGACCAATAATATGTTCCCAAAAATATTGACCAAACAACTACTAAACAATCTTTGAGGTTTCTCCAAGGAAGCAACCCGGGTCCGACTTTTCATTTCTTGTATACTTAAAAATGAAGTTAAAGATGCTAATTTGTTGATATTTTCCTACGATAATTACTATTCTTATCACGGATTTTTCTCTTAAACGGATCCAACTACTACAAAAGGTTGAAAATTGACTTAAGGGTGTTGATATATGATTGGAAGTAATTATCTTCGAATGTAAATAATATAAAATATGCATGATTTAACAAAACACCTATAAATGGCCCTTAAGTTAACTTTAATTACAACATTGAGATAAAATGAAAAATAACTTTTCTTATTTCTTGCGTATCACAAAGTAAAAAGTTGTACATAAGTTTACAGATCATGTGACATGTGTGCAAATAAACGATGAAATTACTTTAGAATAAATTAGTTACAAAATTCTAACTTAATTTTTACTTACAATTAAAAATCCATTAAATTACTTCTGTTTCTGTATAAACGATACCTTCTCAAGGAATGGCTTAGGAAACTTAGTTATATGCCATTAAGATACTTATAGTAAAATACAGCTGTGCCTGTTATACTTACTTTTATAAAAAAAATATTAAATTTGTATCGTTTCATGGTATAATTTATCAGTAACAATCCGATTTAGTTTACGGTTACATAATATCAATTATGATCGTTTAGAACATTCATAAACGTTTTCATTAAGAGGCATTTAATTTTAGTCACTTAAACTTTCCCAGGATAGCAGGTTGTTTAAAAATACTATTTGATCGATTAATCTTATTAATAATATAATTATCAACATTTTAATTATTGTATTATAAATATAATGTATGTAAACACATAAGCACGTTCTGGTAAGATGTATGGGACCTATATACGATATTGAATATTACAAACGAAAACTGGAATAAAAAGCACTAATTTTATTTCCATTACAATATAAAAATTCTTATTTTCTAACGTGTTTGTGTTAATTAATTTCGCGTTGATTTTCATGTTCCCTGTGACTGTCTATTTATGTTAGCTTGGAGTAACTACTATAAAAATAAATAATAATAAATAATTTATCATAAAACTTATTTGTGATTGTATGTTTGAATGAAATATCATTTTTGTTTTACAGGACAAGCCAAGAACCAAAGTAGTTGTGGCTCTTTACCCGTTTAAAGCAATTGAAAGCGGTGACCTTTCTTTAGAAAAGGTATGATTTCTAACAATTATTTAAACATTTACATTTACTAGAACATTTCAATTGAAAAACAGTTTTCTAATTATATCATTTACTGCAGGGCGCTGAATATGAAGTTATTGACGACTCCCAAGAACACTGGTGGAAAGTGAAGGACGAAAATGGGTATGTAATCAATAATAAAAAGTGCTGTTATTCTTGGTAATTTTATAAAATAATTTAATATTAACTATATATGTGCATTGAGTTAATATTAAAGTTCGCTATTGAAAACAACAGAAATTAAAATAAAAAGCAGGTCATGTTTCGTTTGTTGTGTCATATAGTAGCTGTCAATTAATATCGGTGACATTTTCTTCTAGGTCAGTTGGGTACATACCCAGCAACTACGTGAAAGAGAAAGAAACGATCGGGTTGCAGAAATACGAGTAAGTACAATTAAAAAGTGAAGGGGGTATAAATTTTTACGATCGCATTACATTACTTAATATAATATGGCTTTCACCAAAACATAAATATTGATTTATTGTTTTTACGAAAACTTTTATAATATGCTCTGTCAGTACAACCGTTTTGTTATACACTCACCAGTTCTATGAAATTAACTGTAACTTACATTAAGATTTGTTCATAAAATTTTAATTCTTATGTTGGTGGAATACGTATCATTATTTGCCGTGTTTTATAAAGTGAGACTTCGTAAGTGTAGACTAATGTATGCGTAGTCCACGTGGGTGGACTTTTTGCATTGCGCATTGAGAAATACGGTCAGTGACTGACGCGTTATTGATAAGAGTGAAAGTTTAGTTTTATTTTCGATATGATATTCTTATTTTTAACTTAACATGTGAGTAGTACAATCTAAAAATAATATAGTTTGTTATGATTCACTGCTGAATGTGTTAAAGAATAACATAAAGTGCGCTAATGACTTGTCAGCATGCTTTATTGTTTATTGAATTAATTATTTATAGATTATATATGCGAATGAATGACCTTCGGGATTATATTTACGTTTTTTAATTAGCTGTTAATCGAAGTGACAATACTTCCTAACATTTCTAATGAAATCGACTTTTTTAATTAATTTATTTTTATTTTTTAAATATTTTTTTAAGTTGCTAATAAAACTGTGTAGAAATACACATAAAACGGCATCCTGCCTTTTCGGCGAAAACTGTTTGGCCGATTATCACTTGCCAACCAAAGTTTCACCTATGTTTCACTTTGACAACTAACGATTAGCAAAATTTTTGTATGACAACATTTCATTTGGTAAAATTATCGTTAAGCTGATTATTATTATGACCTTTGGGATATTTATTATTGGTCTAATCTTTCAATAGGCTACACAAGTTTTAGACGAATAACATTTTGTCAACGTATCAGTTCCCTTTTCATACATTGATAAGTTGATTTTTTCCTCTGAGTATGTAGTCTTGTGTTCAAGAACTTTGTCATAAGTATAGCAACGGAAACATATAGGTTAGGTTAGTATATGATAAACAACGCACAAGCCGAATGAGCGAAGCGAGCGTGCTACGAAAGTGGTTGGCGAAGTGCCGGTGCGAAGCAACAGTTATATTAGTTTAGGTTACATTAATGGTGAAATTAGGCGTGACAATGAAATAAGAGAGGAGGAGCGTGTTAGGTTGACTGTGAGCTAATCAGAATCGGCCTAACTAATACGATATTTGGTAAACAATAAATAACTTAGTGAATATTACACTGACTGAAACATTTTGCTACTTGAAAGTTGGCATTTTGAAAAGTATCATTATAAAATGCACACGAAATATACAATTAATAATGGTGAGGTTGGGAATAAAGTAAAATTTTACGATGAGTTGGCAAATAATTACACAGCGAAATAAAATTCTACGAAACGTTAGTTGCTATGTGATAATCAGACAAACAATTTTCGGCGAAAAAGCAGACCACCACATAAACCATAAGTTAGTCAAGCAACTAATGATGTGTCTCTTAAAATAAAAAATAAATATTAATTTTTATTGCATATCAAATAAACACCACAAGTATATAAATTTATGTGATTTCTTCCAGGCAACCGCGGAATCGGTTTATTTTGCATTTGAATAAAAGTCGATCGCCTTGACTAGTTTTTTACTACTTTGACATGTCTTTCGATGGATAGACTAAATTGGTAACATTGCTCTCAAATTTATAATTATCATTCGTAGCGCCATATTAACGTTGTCATATCCTTTGGCTAGACTCATGGCTAGAGAGTTAGACGGCCGCACCCCCTGTATCTGAGTAATAGAAAATAGAAATATAAACATTACGCTTTATGTAAAGTCTAATTAATTGGTATACTTGTAGATGGTATGTTGGCGAGATGTCTCGGCAACGTGCCGAATCTCTGCTCAAACAAGAGGACAAGGAAGGATGCTTTGTCGTTCGTAATTCCTCTACTAAGGGCATGTACACGCTCTCTCTATATACCAAAGTGTAAGTATATAATATAATAAGATACTTTACATTTCGGAGGAGCTTGATGGCGCAGTGGGTAGAGCACATGGTCTGCAATGCGGACATGATGGGAACCGAAAATTTATTATATCAATTTTGGCACGTTTAGCCATTGGTTCCGCATTTGAAATTTTTAACACCCATTTATTCGTACCGGCCTCGAGTGATGATTCTCCTTATCAATATATGCCAGTATCAATATATCGCAATCTATAAAGGTTCCAAAAGAGTTACCGTGTAACTATTTAGATTGGCTTCGAATTGGTTACCATTGGATTTATTCAAAACGCACTCAATATATAATATGGCAAATGTATTTTCCTTTACTATTTTAAACACCCTTTGGTTGAGATTCTGTATAAAAATAATATTTAGGACAGCGCTTTTAAATATATTTTTTTTAACAGAACCCCCAAAAAAATTAATAACATACTTGGAAACTAGTCCTTCATTTTCAAATACCTCTCCGAACGTTTCTCTTAAATTACTATTGTTTCGTATACTTGCAGTAATCACCCACAGACGAAGCATTACCACATAAAACAGAACAGTCGCGGAGAATTTTATCTATCGGACAAGCATTGTTGCCCCAGCATCCCCGAGCTGATAAACTACCACAAGCATAACAGCGGCGGCCTCTGCTCCCGGCTGAAGGCCACGCCTTGCGATCGGCCTGCGCCCCCCACTGCGGGTCTTTCGCACGGTATGTGTTATATATAATTATAGTCTTTTTCACATAGCATGGCTATGGTGTCGTTTGGAATTCGAAGTATATACAAACTAGCTTTCGCCAGCGGCTTCGCCCGCGTGGACCCTAGGGAAATGTTTAGTGGAATAAGTATCCCATTATCTAAGTCGGTAGGTAATACCCTATCTGTATACCAAATTTCATCAAAATCCGTTCAGTAGTTTCGGCGTGATTGACGGACAAACATCCAAACAAAGAAACTTTCACATTTATAATTTTAATAGGATATATAAAAAAATTCAATAATTTTATGTTCGTTTCTAAGAGAGATACTCGATTTTGAGGTTAATATATAAAATAGGATTTAAGAAAATTATTTATTCATCACATAAACATGGTAGAATAGCTATTTGGTAGTTTTTGGGAAATACTGATGAAAATACGTTCACGTCTTGATTAATCTACGGTACGCCATTGTATAATACTAATAGTTATCCTTATTTCTATAGACAAATGGGAGATAGACCCATCAGAGTTGGTCCTATTAGAAGAACTAGGAGCGGGTCAGTTTGGTGTAGTACGGCGCGGTAGATGGCGCGGTCGTATAGACACCGCGGTGAAGATGATGAAGGAAGGCACTATGTCCGAAGATGACTTCATCGACGAGGCCAAAGTCATGACGTAAGTACTGACTTTCAAGTATATAAACTCTCTCGTTGCATTATATTAGAGTCAGCCCTGACTTTCAAGTGGTTGAATGTAGAATAATAACGTCCTGCCATTGATTGGGGAGTGGAGATTAAAAAAGTACTTTCAATGAATCTCGTGGATCGAAGAAATAAGAATAAACATAGAAAATTAACTGATATTTTATTAGGCCCTTGGTATTTGTACAGCTGACAGTAAGTGGTTGACTTTTTGTTAAATATAGGAGCATTTATATTTGGCATATACGTTATGTATGAAATAACAACTACCAAAAAGAAATGTATAAACAATCACTCTTACTTTACGACTTTAGATCGAAAAACACTTGTATGATAGATCCCATTATTTAAAATAGCAATAGTGTCGACATTGATAACGATTTTTAATTAGCCATCGTTAAGAACACTATTATTATTATTTTTTAGTATGATTGATTACCGATAATTTAGAAAATAATACTAACCATAGGAAAAACATTCACAATACCATGTTCAAAGAATATGGCATTCTACTCTGTTTGAAATAACACTTGTAACTGTTTATTTTAATTTAAAAAAGTCATAAATCAAATATTTCGGAAAAACAAACACGTTTAACTGCCTTAAGATTGTAACAAAATTTTAACTTTTTTATACCTGCGAAAACGCTGTCCGTCATATTCATGACGTCATTGTGACATGTACACAAAACAGATGGATAGAGTAGAAGATTAAAAAGTGACAATAAAACAAGAACAATGCCATCTAGGAATTAAATTTATAATTAATAGGCATATCGTAATGACTACTCTGACAGCTGTCGCCACAGTGGCGTCACACAATGGCAGGTCGTGTTTCAAGTCACGTGACACACAGACAAAAAAAATCACGACTTCTAATTTTATGATAATAAGATAATCATGCAATTTTAAGACTAAAATCAGAAATTCTATGTTTATAACGATGTAAATTTAATTTTTGTGCACCTACCACCCTAGTGATTACATTTTAACGTTTCCCTCCACAGTAAACTCCAACATCAGAATCTCGTACAACTATACGGAGTGTGTTCCAAACATCGTCCTATATACATAGTGACGGAGTACATGCGGCACGGTTCCCTTTTCAATTACCTTCGACGCACATCGCCCGACCAATTAGGGCCCGCTGTACTACTCGATATGTGTATACAGGTGACGTTTCAATCTTAAATACTTTATAGCTTAACAGCCAGTTGTACAAACATCCATTTAAATTGTCATTGGTTTAAAGCGAAAATACTGATACAAATTTGATGTTCATTAGATCTTAATGACATCATTAAACCTTAATGGTCGTTTATACAGCTGACCGTGTGATTTATGCACTTGATGTTTTCCCGCTATTTCAACCCGTTTATGACGTATCTGCCCAGACCTGCCCTGCGATTCTGTAAAACTTCAAACCTGATTTCGAAATCACTCGGGTGTCCGAATTCACTTCAAAAAGCGGCATCCGCTCAAACTTGAATTGGTAATAATGTTTCGTGAAATAAGTGAAGTGAGTTTCGAAATGATATAGGATTAAAATATCTATGATACGTTTAATCAATCAGTTTTGTTTAGTATTTTTATACAAAAAATGGAATTAATAGGATTTCTTTACTAAATGACTAGAATTCGGACACATGAGTGAATTCGAATTCGGGTCTGGATTGTTACAGAATCGCAGGGCTGCTACTGAGTGGGGTATAACATAGGAGCTCGCCTAAATTGTAAAAAAGATTGTAGTTAGCTGTTTTCTCGCTACTTTACGCGTGTATGATGAAAGAATTTTTAAAATGGTGCATTACTTTCGGAGCCTATTTGATGAAAACATAGAAATAAATCTTTCCTCTTTATAGCACAAGTATATACTAGCTTTCCGCAAATAGCGTTGCCCACGTGGTCTCTAACCTTTTGATGGGATAGAAAGTAGCCTATTTATTAATTCAGAATACTAAAAAGAACTCTTATGCAAAATTTGTGACTCCTAGCAAATGTAGTTTAAGTGAAGTTTCAAATCTAATAACAATTTCTTAAGGGTCGAAATTCGTCGTAGTGTCCGTCTTGGTGGGCATCTACATCCTAAAAATAACCCATTTTCAAAATTTAAACCTCTTGAAGTTTCTGAGAGTTATTTTGTGACATTTTTCTTTTGTATATAGATAGCTCGGTGGCGTAGTGGATAAGCGCCGCGGCCCGCGATCGTAGTCGTTAAGCAACTTTCGCAAGGGTCGGTCACGGGATGGGTGATCAAAAAAAATATTATCTCGAGCTACTCCGTGCTTCGGAAGGCACGTTAAGCCGTTGGTCCCGGCTGCATTTGCAGTCGTTAATACCCTCCAATCCGCATTGGGCCAGCGTGGAGGGTCATGGCCCATCCTCCTTAACCATCCATAAGGAAGGCCTGAGCCCCTGCAGTGGGGACGTAAAAGGGCTGATGATGATGATGAGGATGATATAGATAGATATATTTCAGTTTATTTTAATAATGTATTCTGTATTTTAATTTGATTTAAGATATATATTGATATAAGTTTTTTTTTTATTGCAGGTCTGCAAAGGAATGGCATATTTAGAAAGGCATAACTACATTCATCGGGATTTAGCCGCAAGAAATTGTTTAGTCGGTGATGAAAATGTCGTTAAAGTAAGTTTATTATTTCCACGTTTAATTAATAAGTTTGTAATCAGTTAAACTTTACTCCAACTAGCTATATATTATTAAATCCCGATATATATGTCATATTGTCAACTTAGCCAATGAATCAGCTTAGGCCATTCTTGCATTACAAAAAGAAGATGATATTACTCAAATTACGAAAGTATTGCTTCAGTATCACCGTCCGGTACGAAAATATTAAACGGCCTTTTAGATAAGTATTCCTTTTCGTATTTTTTGAACTCTGTCAGTAATAAGTGACGCGAAGTGCCGGTCTCTACGCAATTTGTTATTGATTTCCTATTATTAGCGTGTTTTTGCGAACACGGTAACCTATCAAGTTAAAAATTGTCATGTGGGAGTATAATATAGTTTTTAATTTGTAGGTACTGATTGATGCCGTCACTTCAATAATGTAGCTAATGTCAGAATGCCTTAAATTATATTTTAATTAAAACTGCCATTGACAGGCTTAATTGACTCGATTTCTTTATCGCGAAATGTAAAGAATTGTAAAACTTACAGATTCGAAATGTCAGTTTATTCTAAGATAGGAAATGAAACTTAGCGAGTAAAGGTACTATTATGTTGAATGTAGCTGCGAAATGAAACCTTATAGAAATATAGCGAAATAAAATAATTCATTTAAATATTTGTGAATTGTAAGGTGGCAGACTTTGGTTTGGCGCGATACGTGTTGGACGATCAATACACGAGCTCGGGAGGCACCAAGTTCCCTATCAAGTGGGCACCGCCTGAAGTACTGAACTACACGAGGTTCTCCTCCAAATCTGATGTTTGGGCTTTCGGTAAGTCCTCGTCGGTGTGATAATATAATATACACACATTCTTAAAAAAAAAATAATGCTATTTTGTGATAAAAACTAAAATGACGGTTACATTCAAAGGTCTAGTCTAACAAATTTAAGTATTTTTTTACGCAATATTTTGTTTTGTGGTCCTTCTATGACTAATATGTTATCAATACTTAGTAAACTATTTCGCATATAAATAATTATTTGCATAAAAAATATAACTTTTTTTTTTTTTTTTTTTTTTTTTTTTTCACTTATTTGTGGCAACAACAGTCATACATAATTATGTTACTTAAAATACACTTATTCATATAGCTAAAGACCTAACGTGCCATCGTTTTACTAACATAATATTTGATGGAAAGACTTATTTAAATAGTTTATATAAACATAAAAACAAATTACTTGATTGGAAGATAAACTTCTGACTAAGAAGACAAAAAAATAAAACGAAACGCTATAATTTCATTTAACAGTTGCCCATAATAATTGATTACAATTAAAGTTCTTATTCTAATAAAGTAGTTGAAAGCACGTGTTATAAATCTAAATAAAATTAAAGTTCATTTATAACAATTTGTTGTGCTAAAGTTTTCTTTAATTTGGTAAGGGAAGTATTAAAAAGATCTATACCAGTAAAATTTCTGTTATACATGTTGGTGGAACGGTATATAAAACAATTTTTTGTGTAAAGCTTATTTAGGTTTGGGGGAGCGAAAAGTAAACGTTTACGAGAAGAGCGCACTGGAATTCGGACCCGGGATACGAAACGGATTCTACTTAAGAGAGTTGGGGAGTCAATTAAATTGTTTAGTATTTTGTATAGTAATACTATATCAAATATTTTTCGTCTATTCTGGAGAGATGGTAAGTTGTGTTTTTTTAATGAGTGTTCATAGGAAACGTTAGTAATATTTAGGCGATAATTAAGTGACTTCACGAATTTCTTTTGAAGCTTTTCTACTTAACAAGGAATAATAAGAGAAACACACATACTTCCATTAACTATGGAATCACATCAAATAATTCTCTACCCAAAGGTTGTTTGTTAGTTGTTAAAAATGTCAAATCCACCAAACTATCATTTTTTTTATGTTGACCATACAAATAATGAATTTCTCCTATGATTTGTGCTGGACATTGAGACTGCTCTACTATATCCTTTTGTCTTTTGCAGGTGTACTGATGTGGGAAGTTTTCACGTGCGGTAAGGTCCCCTACGGCAGGATGAAGAATTCAGATGTCGTGGACATGGTTCAAAGGGGACAAGTTCTAGAAAAACCTAAAGGATGCCTCAATGAAATTTACAATGTGAGTTTTAAGTTTTGTAAGAAAAGAAATAGGTACTTTGACAGAGTTTTACACACAGAAATGTGTGTAATTTTTAATATTTACATTCAATAAAGCCTCTGCGATTTAAAACGAGGTACCTAACTTGTCTGATAATAATGTTGTGATTTCCGTAAATTGCTAATGTGTTGGAACCTTGTCTAATTATAAGTCACTGACGTCATTTGAAATTAGAAAGTATAGATAGCACAAAATGCAATAGATGCATTTTTTATAATTGAAATATTCATAAATAAATATGTGAGATATTAATGAATTTTTCCCAACATACGATTATAATATTTTTTATGTATATAAAAGATTAAAAAAAAAGAACACTAAAAGAAATGTTTATTTTTTAACATCACCAAATTTAGAGGACGATTTTCAAAACATTGCCAACTAGTGATGTAATTAGAGACATTAGATACATATTAAATGTTTAATGTAATCAGGTTTACTTGTGAAAATCATAAAAGCGGTTGCTATCTTAGTGATTCATAACAAATGAGGTCCATCTCTCGCATTCAATGATGTTTCGTGGTAAAAAAGACAAAACAGGGTTGGGAGTGATAATTATCTTGATAAATGTACGTTGATAATTATATAACACTACAATAACTGTTTTTGTACTTTAGGATTTCAAAATAGCAAGTGCCCCCTTTATAAAAATATATTATGTTTTGTTTCAATTCAAATTCGTTTTTTGTACAATATGATTTCACAGTAAACTTTTTTGTTTATATTGTTTGTATGATATTTAATTTAAAACAACAAAAATAATAGTTTATTCAATTAAATTTAAAAGTATTTAAAAAATGGGTATAGACAACTTTTTAATTACAAACTGGTTTGCGTGCAGGTGATGCTAGCTTGTTGGCGGCACATGCCCGACGAGCGGCCGTCGTTCCGTGTGCTGAAGGACGAGTTGGCGGGCGTCGCGCACGCCGTTCTGGCTGATTGACTGCGTCTACTGCTGCAACTGTTGCGTCCAAACGCGCCCGCTACCGCCACCGCCACCGCCACCGCTACAGTAACCGCGCCCGCGCCCGCTCCCGCTCCTGCACCCGCCCCCGCCGCAACGCTGCCCCGACAGAGACGCAAGCTCGGCATACACTAGACATTCAACTCGATGCGACCTATAAGCGTCGATGCAAATCTGATCGTTAGATTAAATTGAATAAATTTTATCTGTAAATCGCTACCCGCTGTCTCTACGCTGAGATCTTTAAAATTACACATCGGATTTTAATAGTTATTCAAGAGGAATGTTTATTGTATAATACAGGCATAGTATAACCAGATTAGTATGCCGACTCGTGCCTGGAGCGAGCATCACGGCCGTAGAACTTACTCTTTGTACTCTTGATACAGGACAAGGCTAGCGAAACCGCTGGCTAAAAGCCAGTTTTATATAAAAGTAACACAGTATACAAAATTATTCGTCGAGTGTGAAGATGGATATAATATTATATAGGGTTAGTTGTTTAACGCCGAAAATCTCGCAGTGTTAGTCTACCATCATATGTAACATCATAAATAATAACATTTGTTCTGTAACTTTTTAAAATTCCTATAAAATATCACGTACATTAAATAATTCATTTCATTTACCACATTTAATGTCCGGATTTATGTTTTTGTTTACACTTTTATATGTACCGATGGTAATACACAAAGCACTTGGTTTTGTTTAAAGTATCAATCTCAAGTTATGGTTAAAACTATTGATCAAACCTTATTGTTTATGATGTTTGGTATCTAGTTCTGTGAAGTTGCCGATGTTTTACAAATGACCCTGTATATTGTCAGTTCTGTCTGACATTTCGCGACTGACGATACCCAACTCATCTTGCGTCAGATATGCATCGACTCTTAGGTGTTTCGACCTACTGAATTTATTTTGTAACAGGTAAACCTTTATCATATTATTAACCAGCCATGTTTATACATAAAGGTGCTTCCGAACATCGGTAATCGGTTATGTTGAGAGTATGAGTAACGTTTGTTGGGTGAATAACTTTTTTGACAAATTGTTTAATTTGTTAGTAATGTTACACAGTTATGTTCAACTTATTGAACTACTGTGGGACGTTTATAACATAACATCCTCTGACATATTGTAGCTGAAATTTACACATTGTTTAACTGATATCGTGGTATACAATGTATTAGATTATTATTTAACTGCTTCAAGGGAGCTCTTTTTCCTTTTATTTGAAGAAATTGCTATTTGTTAAAAAGAGAAATATAGCGGTATTTAGTGCGACAGACCAAATTGTAAATTTCATTTATTCGACTTATTATATTTAGCTTACCATATTGTTTCATATAAATCATACCCATTTGCTTAATAGAGAAAAGTAAGAGAAGGTTATTTCTACTTTTTGGCTTGATGTTAAATATACCAAATATGTTATCGATCGCTGGCCGGCAGATTTTTATTATTTATTATATTAATATTTAATCAATGAAACTTAACCTGAACGCTCAATATTAAGGAAGCAGATTTAAATCTATCAGTCTCGTTTAGATAAGAAAATGCCATACTTACCGAGGAGACGATAAATACATAGTATGAATAATATTAGTACATACCATACTTGGGGTTTTATAGAACTGTCTTTGACTATAAACCTTAATGCATTAAGGATAGAGTTATAATTACTACGGAACTTGACATATTGTGGTAACATGATGTGCTTACTGTGAGTACGTCGTTAACGTTCTCATGAGAAAAAAATAAAGTGTTAAAAGACGAATTTATATTAAATAAAGACAAACAGTGTTAACGGAATTGTTTAAATGTAAATGGGTTAATTATTGTAAATAAAAATAACATAATTTATTATTTTAATATCATTTCAGTATTAACCCAAACACGGAATTGAAGATCTCGTTTATAATTCTCATATAATTTTAATATTGATGTTTTTGTTCATTAAAGTTAAAAAGTACACTTCGGTAACCATGTTCTTTACTTGGTAAGCAATAACCGAAAGCAATGAGTTTGAGAACCTGAATATTTTTGTACATACATATTGCAAAATTGCCGTCCAAACTTGTGAGGAAAGAAAATTATATTTACTTCTTATATAATTAATGCACATACATAAATAATGACAGACGCACCAACGAGAAGTCTCTCAGTTTTTAAGAAGAAATAAAATTAATTATATAATAAATTTTCATTCGATGATTTATCTATTCTTTTTTCTTACTTAACTTGTGAATGAAATATTATAGATTGAAAATACGAATTACTAGGTACATGTAAGTGGATGCATTATTAGGAAATAATACACGTATTTAATGTTAAATCAGTAAAAAATCTTATCGTATTACAAATTAATTAATTTATAAAGTTTGGCGGAGTGAAACTAACTACTTATTCTGTGCATCCCAACTCGCGTGAATTAGTTTTTATGCATTATGTTAACAGTAAATCGTCATATGTTGTACAAAAGACAAACAATTTTATCATTAACACTGACAATTTACATTACACACATTCACAAAGAATCAGTTAACTATATTTCCTAAATAAGATTGTGGAAAATGTATTCAAAAGTAACTAATTGCATATCGCTAGATTACGTTATCCAAAATTTCACAAATTGTACTTTCTTGCGAGTTCAATTGTGTATTAATAATTTTCATTCGTGTTATGTGGTTAACAAAAAAAAACTCAATTGACACTTTTATTTAAAAGCATGTTCTACATCGACCCTAGACAATAAGAACTAAAACTGAAATAAGAAGGAATTGACGTTGTCACGGAATTGACAGGATTCATAAAAAAATATTTCCACTGCAACATTTTTCTAATATACCACTACCATTGAATGTTGAACAGGTAATTTTGCTTTTATATACTGTGTGGTAATAGCATTAAGCTCAAGTTATATTATTGTATTTATACGTACAATTATAAATCTTAGATGAGTAGTTTCCAGCATTCTTATTATTTTGTGAACACGTCCTAATGCTGTTTTGTCGCGTAGATGATCACAGGAAATAATATTATGCACCTTTTACGTCATCATATCATTACATTACGTAGGTAGCGTTTAAATGTACATATTAGTTAAAATAAAGTATTTTATAATATTAAGATATCACTAAATTTATGTATGTTCTATACAGATAAAGTTTTGTTCCTGTTTTGTTTTGCGCAATACAACGTCACTGCTTTTTTTAACTATATTTTTCTTGTCACAAAGTAACTTCTTGAATAACTGTAATGCAGTTGTTTTTTTTCTTGAATCGAAGGCTGTAATTTACTTTTAGACATTCCTTCTATAAGAACTAGTCATGTGTTAGTTGATACAACAAACATGCTCAAATAGTTATTGGGCTATTTTAATCTTACACACTTTATATTATATAAATAAACGAAATAAAAAGATATCTCGGACGAGATAGTAGAAATTATTTGCCAAGTACAATTAAATAAGAATTGGATAGCGTGTGAAAATTGAAATATAAAGGAAAGAGACGAGATGTTTTAGACGAATATTGTATAAAAAAAATTCGTGTTTTACAGGAGGATCTTCTATAGCCGAAAACTGTGACCCGATAAGCCTATGCATGTAATATTAGTCTATTTGTATCTTAGTATATTTATAGTTGTTGGGTCGTATTCTAACTGCTTTCAGAAATAACGTCGCCAGCAGTGACACTTGAAAATGTGCCAATTATTTTCATTGTAATTTATAAATTAATTTAGAATTTTCAGGGATAACGACTGAATAAATAAAAATCGACTAGTATTTTATCTATCGTAAATATATTTTATTGTGATATCATAAATTAGTGCTCCGTAATAGCACTATGTTGTATCTATTAGGGATAATTTGACATTAATGTATGTATAATGGTAATGATTAGAATTAAAAGTATAATATGTTGAACATGGAAACAAGTATACCTTGTTTAAAATAGTATATGTAATGTGCTTTGGAATTGTACAGCAGCAATTAATTAATTTGTATAACTGTTTTATAAAACTATTAAGCCAAGTAATAAAATAATTAATAAAATTTATTGTTTTCATTTTTGATTACTTTCGATCCTCGTTTGACCCTATATACTCCGTGTTGCCTCTGTCGCATATTTATTATAGGTGTTAGGTTATAAAAGGCGTAACTATATCATTACAGAGGCGCCTTCAGTAAATTCATTGCATGGGAAGTCCGTAAAAATATATTTAAGCATATTTTAACGGTCGTTATCATTACAATAATGTTAATATATACCCAGCTGTTTTCTCGCACTCTCGCCTGCATAATAAATGCGCATAATATAAGCTTCCCGTAGGTGAAAAATTCTTAAAGATTAACCGATCATCTTTATGCAGCCCGATAGTGAATAATATTTTACAGAACCCTTGGCAGGGTAGAAGAACCCTGTATGGACTTTTTAACTAACATATTTTATTTAACATAATCGTGTCAGACAAACTTATACACTTAACTAATGTCGCTTACAATAACAGGTACATATTATAATAATTACACAAGTCACATGTGACACAAAATGTTAATTAAAAAAAATGGAATGATATCTAGATATCATTCCATTTTTTTTAATTAACATTTTGTATATGACTAGTCATACAAGGTTTGATAGTAGAGATTTATGATGTTAATATTCTAGCATGTACATATATTTACAGACATGTGAATAAAGAATACAACCAATATTGCTTACAGATCTACTTGCACAGACAGCTTAAAAGCGCATCAAACGGTTTAATCAACCATTCACGTTCAAGTAACATGCCTGAATGACCTTTAATATCGAAAGTTATTTCAAGTAATGAAATACAATGTGTAACCAATCAGACAGATTGGATACCGGGAACTTCTTCTTCTGTCTGACTAAACGAGTAACGTCTCGTGGTGTCGAGGCTTATCTTGATCTTATAGTTATTCAACCAAGAACCATAATTTTAATCGTACT